GCCACTCTCATGACCTGATCACCTCTCAAAGGCTCTGCCTCCTAATACAGTCATATTGGGCATTAGGATTTGGCATATGACATTTGGGGGCACACACACACTCAGACCACTGCTGCTGGGTGTGTCGACAGATGACAGTACTTTGCCAAATCCCATTCACCAATGTCTAGCCCAGAGATTGCCCTTTGCTGAGGTGATCATGCACCTTTCCAGTGTACAGCCTGTATCACTGAATGTTCAAAGTGAGCATCTAAAGCCCTGGCCTCCATTCTCCAGTTTGGGACAACTCTGCAAGGACATTTCAGCACCCAATATCGTCATGGGATAACCTGAGCTCTTGTTGTGACTACATCACTCAGCTTTTCCTCCTGCTTAATCCTACTTTCTTCATTTCCCCACAAGTCCCAAGAGTACTCCCCATGAAACTTCCTGCAAGGAAATTCAGTCTCAGGGTCTTCTCCCTGGGAAACATGACCTCTCACAACATGTTTGTTAATTTTAAAACTCTTACTTCACCAGAGCTAAAATGATGTCAAATCTCTTCTATTTTTTTCTTCCTTAAGCCTCAGCTAATACCACATTACCATTTTGAGACCAGAGGGCTTAATGTAGAAATTGAATCTAGCTATTAAGACTTAGAGCAATTTTTTTTTGGAAAATAAAACATTGAAGTCTGGATTCCACACAGCTCTTCATAACCTATACAAGTAGCTTAACCCCTTAACACTTCACTCCCCATTACTTCTACTCCTAGTGTGACTTAGATATTTCACTGTTAAATCCACAGAAACAAAGCCTCCTGCTTGCAGAACGGAAAGGAAAGAATAATACACCGGCCTCCCTTAGGAATGGTTTGAATGCGGGTGACAGTTCTTCACATTTACAGAGGTATGATTTTTAAAATTTGTTTCTTTGATTTTTAGAGTACCTTTTCTTCAAAGGTTTGAAACTCAAAAGGAGTTTTTAACTTTCCTCTTGCTCTATTCTCTCGGTTTCTCCCTGTAGAAGTACTGTAGTTAGGAGTGTGGGTTGGATACATCCCATTTCCTGTTTCATTTTTCTCTGTTGAGAAAACCACAAACTTTCAGGAAGGTGAAATAAATAGGGCTGGTTCCAAACTCAGTTGTGACATAAAGTTGGTTCCTGACGAGCCTCTAGCCCTTTGTGGTAGACCCTTTCCCTTTGTGGTTTCCCTTCCCCAACTCTGGGGCCTCCTAAGGCCACTACCAGTGGGCTGTCTGTCCACCCCTCTCCTCAGCATCTGTCTTCCTTACCCAGCTTTCCCTGTCCTGCTGATCTCTGTTCATGACCCAGAATCAGTCTGATGGCTCCCATGCTGTCTATTGTCCCTACATTGGAAACTTCCCTGCTCTATAATAGCTTGTCATCCAAGACCAACTTTGCTCTCTTTGGAGACTATTTTGCCTGGCACACTTGTAATTGATTAATAAGTATTAAATGAATGAATGAGGGCATGAATAAATAAACTGTTCTCTCGATACAACACTTGGCACCCATCCTACCTCCACCCACCCCAGGTGCATATATATTAACAGGGGCCTGATAAAAACAGCATATCTTCCTTTGTAGCATGGCCAAACTAGGTGAGTTGGGAGAGGAATCCCATGACAGGTGGTTGCTGGTACTCTATTAGCTATGTGCTTCTGATGCTTTGACATCTGGGGCTTGCTGATGCTGGAGACATTGTTCCTCCCAGAGCTAGTCAGTTCCTAGACAGAGTAAACAACTCACCTGCTAGAGTGTCTTTCATATACGAATCAACCAACCCACAGCCCGTATTCCAACCACCTCCTCTACTGAGCTCTCACTGGGCTCTCTCACTCTGGGCCATCAGCTACCTGCTCTAATCACCACAGGGCCAGTTTCCAGACAACTCAGGACAGCTCTTAAGCCCCAGAGCCTGCTCAAATGATTCAAACCAGTCAATCCTGCTGTATAGCCTGCCTCAGTCCTGCTGTATACTCTTTCTACAGAAACCACGATAAAGGCCTGTGTTTTCTCTTTGCTCCTTCTGCCTCCTGACCTCATGCGTCCCTGCGCAGCATAACATGTTCCCCCTTCTTGGGAACGGTAACAAACTATCTTTTCAACGGCAATTGCCTCCTGACCTGCTGGCCTCACCATACCTGAATAATACTAAAACTTACCTTTTGAAACAATTATCTCAAATACTTCTCTAATCTCAAGTGTGAGGTCTCCCATGCTAATTCTTTTACGATCCTGAAGAAAGCCTCTCCTTTCCATAAATTCTGAAATTGGAGAAATGACTTATACTCAGAGAAGGCAATGTAGTATTAAATAAAAAATAAAAGTAATGACAGACTTTGTTCATATGTATTATCACCCTGGGATCTCAAAAATTTTTATAAATTATTGTATTATTCTCAATTACTGAAGTTCAAAGATACACAGTGATTTTCTCAAGGTCACAGAGCAACATACACAGAAGAGGTGAGACTCAAACACAGACTTTCCTGGCATTCTTCTGACTCATGCCCTGTTCCCACTCCTTCCTTTTATCACAGTCTTCCAAATCTTCCAATATCTTTTACAAAGTTTTCTTGCATAACTTCACCATTTCCTTCATACTTGAAAGAAAAGTATGGCAGTCTTTCCAACTAGGGCCAATAAATGATTCCACAATAAAAAAATAGCTGAGTCCTAGCTGGTTTGATCCAGTGATTAGAGTGTCAGGGTGGGTGTGGGAGGCAACCAATCTATATGGCTCTCTCACATTGATCTTTCTCTCTGTCTGTCTGTCTGTCTGTCTGTCTCCCTTCCACTCTTTCTGAAAAGCACTGGAAAAAACATCCTCAAAGAAAGATTAAAATAAAATAGCAGAGGTATTTCAACAATAATGCAGCCTTGGGGAGATGAATGTAGAGTTTTAAAAAGATATTACCAAAAACCAGAGATCTATAAATTACAGAAGTTTATAATACTAAGTCTGACCTTTAGTGAATTAATTAGAACCTTCATAAATTTTCTTTTTGAAGAATTTTCATTCTTTGGTCATGAGTCCCCAGAGCTACGAAGAACAAGATTGGCTATAAAGAAGACAGGGAAAAAAAAACACCTTGTAGTTTTGGAAACATGAACTGAAAAGAAATACTTAAATTCCCTACCATAAAGATAAAAATAAGCATACAAAAAATATAATTAAATTATTAATGAGTGGCCATCACATAAAGATGTTAAAACATATGGGGCCGGTGTTAACCAGTTGTTGGGGCGACACTTCAAGAATAATAATTGAAAAATTAACTCAACATTGAACCAAATATAGTTTGTGGAAATTTATTTGTTAGCGTTTACCAAATTCCTACAACAGTTTTAGAATTTCATTGTTTTAAGCAAGAAAGAGAGAAAGGTGAGAAAGAGGAGAGAGAGAAATATAATCAAGTGAATCTAATGATTTGGAAATAAAAAAAAAACTGATGAAAGAGCTGGATTGTGAATGAGGAGAAGACTGACTGGACCAGGGGCTGAAGAGCAACCGACAGGGAGCTGAAGTTGCTTTTTGGAGATGGTGAGGGGCAGCCGTTAAGAATTTCCACAGCGCTGGGCAAGAAGAAACAGGCTTGTGTGCCCGGGGGACCTCAGCTGGCTATCAGGAAGAATTGCTGACTGTACATGTCAAGGGCTCTGGTTTACAGGATCAAAGGAAGGCTTCTGGGATGTGCCTATCCTTGGAGTATTTTTCAGCCTCAAGCAAGAGACTGTTTGGGTGGTTTTCTGCAACCCTGTGGATAGACTAGATGGCCTGCCGGCCTCAGAATCCCCTGGTCTCATGTTGCTGAGAGGCGTGCCCAACACAGCTGCTTTCACAATGTCCTTGCCAGCTGCTGACTCCCAGCTCAGAGGCTGAGAGGAACAACTAAGTCTTTCACTCTCTGTTCCTCACTTGGACCAGTCCTTAGGTGTATACTGTGGTTTTTGAGCTCTTGAGCACTTAGGTACTTTCCTTCTGAGCCAAGGGCCTCCTGGGAACAATGGAGCATCTGTGTGTTGACAGTAACAGCCTGTGAGCCAGAGACACTTGGCGGAGCTCTCCCTCCCACATGGGCTGGATTGCACACCTCACCTGCAATAATCCATGCTTAGTCAGCACTAGCCAGCCCCAAGGTCAAGTTCCCCCTCCTCCTACCCCTTCTCCAACCTGTTTCGATTCTGAGCAATTTGGCCACATTTATACTAATCCTCACTCAGGATGGTCTCTACCCACCTCCCATCCCACCCACAGAGTGAGCAATAACACATTAGTGGCTCATAGACTGACACTAAACAGTGGGCACCGAAGGGTGAGGTACCTATTACTTGGGCAGCTGGGTATTTACAAAAGGTTTGCAAAGAGATGCCAGTCTTTTCCTATAACATTATTGCCTTTTATTTATTACATGGTTGTTGATTTACATGGGGAATTAGGAACGCTAAACAAGCATAGAGTTTTTACATGGTCTGTTTCTGCTGAGTTCAGAACCTTGAGAACATCATTTGACTTCTGGCTAAAAGATAATTCCACAAAGGTGTTTAAAACCATACTTTTGTTCTTGGCCACAAATCAGAGAGGGGGACATGTGCTTATGAGGAAAGTAGAGTTTTAACCCTTAGGTAACTCCAATAGAGAAGAAACTGTGTTGTGTGTAAGTCTTGTGCAATTTCCAAATTCAACATTAATTGACAAATCGGAACAATTTCCTTTGACGCATGTCTCTTCTTCATAGTGGTATCGGTATCACAGTATTTCTCTTAGAGCCTCTATCCAGTGGTTTCATAGTGCTACTACAGTATATGGTCCTACATGGTATGAATGCATAAGAGAAAATTAGATGGGTAGTGAGAGAGTATAGGCAAATTAAAAGAAAGGACAAGGGGAATAAATGAGATTTTAAGGAACAAAATGGAGGGGTGTGTGTGTGTGTGTGTGTGTGTGTGTGTGTGTGCATTTAGGGCCTGATGATTTTGTTGTTTAGTGTCTTTGAGTTGCCCCTTTTTCTTCAGCATAAAGTAGACACTTGGCGGTATGCAGAAGTATCAGGGAGAAATCAGAGTTCCACCTTTTGAGACTTTTCTTCTGATTCATGATTTTCTCTCTGAAAAACACCATGACAAGATATTTAGATTTGGAGTCCACTCTTGTTTTTGAGCTCTAAGTTTAGAAAACTGAGCTATTTAGTTATTCTTAGAAGTCCTAAATCTACCTGCAATTTTTGTCTCATGAACTCTTTATATAGAATTTGATTTGTTTCCCAATGATATTATATACAGAATGGTGAAATCCAAAATTCAGCTCTCTTTTGAATAGGCAAGACTTTTCTCAAAATGCTTTTGTAGTTCTGTTCCCATGACTATATCCTAACAAGCATCCCAACTGTCTACCACATCCTCATATAGCTTTGCTCTTAAATCCAGTGGAGCCCAGTTTTTATTCAATAGGAATAACAGAGACATAGAGAGGAAGAAAACTCAACTTGCCTTCCCTGTAGTCTCACACTTACCAGCCTTTTCCCATTTAGGAATCCATCACAAAAGTTCTGCACGAGCTCTACTGAAAGTTCTGCCACGGGCAGTGTATCCCACTCCTCATCTAGAGTCCGGTAAATTGCCAAAGCAGGCAGTTCAGACTTCTTTAGTTTGAAAAATGATATCACCTTCTCATTTCCATGCATACCACTGTCCACCAGAATAAAAAGAATCTGCAGTTGGAGAAGTTTGAAAGAGAAAGATGTAGCTGAGGTCCTGGGGAGAAAGAGACACCCTGTAACTGTCGCAGCTTACTCCGATTGAACTTATGGTTTGTGCCACACAATTTAAAACTCAATTGAATCAGAGTAAATTTGTTCTTCCTTTGCATTGCTTAGGTATTTTATCCCTTTGATCAGGTTGATTTAGTTTTAAGAACATAGAATTGGAAGAGATTTTAGTGATTAACTAAGTAGAGCCTAATGGTTAAAAGTGGAGAATAAATTTTAAATTTTGCTTCTGGTACTTTTTAGCTGTGTGACTCTGAGCATATTACTCAGCCTCCCTGAGACTCAGTGCTCTTATGGGCAAAACGAGCTTTTGTTGGTGGGAGATTAAATGAGAGGGTGCATTTAGTATTTCTAGTACAGTTTTTGGCATATAGTAAGTGCCTGACAAATATTAACTATTTTATATTATTAAATCAAACCTTCTACCCAAAGTAGAAATCTTCTTTATAATATTTTGGTTAGAGGATTATCTTTATTCAGTAACACTGAAAACTTACAGTGTTATGGATACAACCACCAGACAGTTCTTATCATTGAACAGGTCATTTAGCTCAAGGCAGTAACCTTGAAGTTGCTTACTGTTAAGTGATATGAAGCAGAACTGCACAAAGTATACAAGGGAAAGAAATACATATTTATTGTCCATTAGGTACCACATACATGATAGGTGTTTGATATGAGAAATAAGCCCTAAGGTCTAAAGCTGTAAGAAATTACGGCAAGGAGAAAAAAATTGTAACAAATAAGTAATTTTTATTTTCAGTATCTTTGAGTCTGTTTTTGTTTTCACTTCTCAATGTAGGAAAAAAGCAATAGACTTTACCACCAATGGAAGATATAATTATACAGGTCTTAAATAGTACAAAATAGAATATCTTTAACTTTAAATCAGAGTAATTGATTTATTATGTCCCAGTTCTTTATCTCTTAACCATACTAATTTCTCTTATTTTTCTCGCTTCCTTAGCCCCATCTCCCTTTTTCTACTGTCCTGGTGCTGAGTTTTCGAAAGGGTGTCTCCCACCCCAGACTTACCTTCCCCTGGAAGAGCTTAGCTGCCTTCTGGTACCTGTGTATGCTTTCTTCATACTCCGGCGAGGCCTTGTTCATCATCAGGAGAAGATGGATCTGAATCATGCTATTAAATAGGCCAATCACAGTCTGGCAAATTGAAATGTATTACAGTAGAATGAAAGAGAGAGGGAGAAAAAAAACCCATTAGTGGCAACCCAGGAACTAGGTAGACTGCAACATAAATGAGAGCTGTTCACCCACAACACAAATGGTAACTAGCCTCTAAGATGCCTGTCAGTGAGGCTCACCCTCTGGTTCTCATGCAACTGTGTTGCTCCCTTCCCCCCACACTGAATAGGGCTGAGTGGGGTAGCCGGTGGGATATTGCAGAAACGATGGAGTGTGGCTTCCAAGGTTAAGTCATAAAAGACATCATGGTTTCTGCCTTGCTCTCTCTTATATCACTCATTCTAGGGAAAGCCAGACCCAGTGTTGGAGAGATTCACACAGCAAGGGACTAAGGCCTCCTATTAACAGCCAGCATTGACTTGCCAGTCATGTGGTTGCACCATCTTGGAAGCAGATCTTCCAGCCCCAGTCTCACCTTCAGATGCCATTGCCTCCCTGACCAGTGACTGTAACCTCACAAAATGCCTAGATTAGAAGCACCTAGTCTAGCTGCTCCCAGATTGTTGATCCATAGAAGCTGTGTGTAATCAAGTATTACTGGTTTAAGCTGCTAAATTTTGGGGTAATCTGTTATGCATCAACAAGACAATAAATATACCATGTAATATATTAGTTACTTTGACTACATATTAATAGTACATACCTTTGAGTGCCTGCTATTTGCCGGGCATTGTTTTCAGGTTTCTACGTATAACAACGAATTTAATCCTCAAAGTCCCAGTTTTATAAATGAGAAAATTGAGGCAAAAAAACTCTGTTAAAGTCATATAAATGGTGGACTGGGATTCATACCAAGCTGTCTGGCTCTATAGTCTGTGCTCTTAACCATCAAGATGTACTGCATCATACACAGCTGATTACAAAACCCCATCTGAACCAGTCCATCCCTCAGTGTGGCTGAACCAGTCTGCCTGAGGTCAGTAATATGATATGCTCTTCAGGAGACCAGAGGTGTTGGCCCTTTTTTGCTGATTCCCCATGAAGCTGTCAGTGATGGAGAGGGGTGGGGAGTGAAACCAGGGCACTGCTCCCCTCATTTCATTTTTCCGAAATAGTGCGACAAGTGTCTTTATTTAAAATAAACCCCATTCCCTTCCACATCTTCCTTTAAAATACAGAAAGCATTGCTGTAAAACCAGCACGTACAGAGGAAGAGAGAGTATGGGGATTAACAAACCATTGGGCAGAGTCCCAGGATGGTGGGAAGGGGAGTAACCAGGTGAGATCTTTCTGGAAGCTGCACGTTGCTCTCTAGAGATTCCCTGGTTCTCTTGGCTAACACATAGGCAAGGAGGGCCCAATGGGTTCTTTCCCCAAAATTTCTCCCTATAGTTTAAACCAGTTCTTAGATTTTAAATTTGGGAGACTGGGTGTTAAATAATAGTCTCCTATTTGATTAGATTCGGCTACTTATATTTAGAACATGCATCTACCCTCCTAGAGCAGACATGAAGGATTCTTCTTGGGAAGAGTGGAGAAGTCAAACTAAGGAGCTAAAAGTTACTGTTGTCTTAGCAAAAGGGATTGGACATATCAGAAGTGATTCATTTAATCCTAATAGATACAGCCTGATTTTTCGCCTTGAGGCCAAGGATTGAGTATGTGCGTTAAAAGTGCACAGCAGGACAGGTACATGGCTGTGAGTTTCTGCCCAGTTGCTACCAGTGCAAACCTCTGCACCAGAAGCAGCTGAGAAATAGCCATGTAGTGTGGGTGGGTATCTAAATGAGAAAAGTACTACTTTTGGGAAATGAAGTTACAATAAAAGTTAAACTTGCTCCTCTAAAGAAATCCTTATTTAATTTCTTTTTGATGTGGTTTGCCTTCACTATAAAGCAAAACTTAAAAAAAAAAATCTGTTACTCATCTCTAAGATAAGAGATGAACCAGACATAAGAATTCAGGAAGGCCAGTCTTTGCCCCTGCCTTAGCCAGCACAACTCCAGGACCCTGAGACCATCAACTCAGGGACCATAAAATCAATTTTTCTGGTTCCACATGCACTTCTGGAAGCTCTATAGACACAATGGTGAGAATGACGATGGTCTAGGAGAAAAACATCTTTTCAATGATTGCTGCCAACACCCCCAGGGTGCACGTGTTTGAAATCTTAGCAAAAGTGGAAATGGAGTCACCACTCCACGGAGACAAACATGGTGTGAGAGGTGGACAGGAATTTAGTCAACAGGAAAAGGGGTGTTTTCTGTTGAAGGCTGTGTAGGGCAATGGAAAAACCACAGGATTCAGTCAGACAGACCAGTCATGAAAAAAGCAGGGACAAGTGCAGAAAGCTGTCTCTGAAGCTCAAATTGCTAGTCATATGGCTTTGAGGAAATTGCTTTACTTTCCTGAACTCCCATTTCCTGTACTGTAAAATGGAAATAGACAATATGAACTAACGCATCATGAGTTAAATTTTCTTCCCTTAATTATGTCTTTCTACTTACTGTGTGGTCTGGAATAATTCACTTGGATCTTGAATGTTCTCCTCTATAAAATGGGCATTTTAACCTCAAAAAATCAATGTGAGGATTAAATGAGAATATGGTGGGAAAGGGCATTGTCATTTCTAAAAATCATGACATCCATGTAAAATACTGTTATTAGAGAATGAACAGCAATTCTGAGCTGATGTAGAACGCTATAAATTAATGCTTTATCGCTCTATGGTCTCTGTCATGGAAAATAAAAGTCAGGTCATGTAAAGCAATTCTATAAGCTATAGAGTGTTAAAAGGCCAGAAGATTACCAGGACCAGTAGACCAACACCTTTACCCAGGCTACATACAGCATGCAACACTAAAAGAAGACAAACCTAGAAAGAAAGCTGAGCCACCATGAGGGTCTAGGTATGTGCAGGTGGTGCCAGACCTGGAACTATTACTGGACCAGTAGGAGGTAGGCACAAAAAATGGGAAGAAGTGCAGACTTTTATAGAAATTTTACATAACTGCGACATCCAAATATGTGATCAGTAAGCTTTATTTTCTACGGTTTTTTTTGTGTGCCTATTAATTATTTTATTGCATTTTACAAAAGTATTGATTCCTGGTGCTTTAGGAAAAAAATAGACCTTCAGCATAGATCGCATTTGAGGGGTGTGGTCTAGAGTGTTGCTAGGATCAGAGTTGTCTTCAGGGAACACTGTCAGGCAGCAAAACTCAGAGGTTTTTGAATCAGTCACCTTCACTTTGCATTATGGCTCTCTTTCTTATTAGTCATGTGATAGGTCATTTAACTTTTCCGATTCTGTTTTTTTTTTTTGTTGTTGTTGAAAAGGGATAAGTCTCCCAGCCTTAACGGTGTAGTAAAGATGACAGCATGAATGACTAAGTGTTCAATTAATTGCAGTTATTATTGGTCAAAGGATCAAAACCCCTGGAGGAAAAGATCTGTGGTGTGAAGAAAGTACCCTCCCTCGCACAGGGACTTCAGGGACCATTGTTTACCACAGGGTTGTACTCTGTCACAAAGTGGAGACTGTTGATCTCAATGAAACGGCTTAATTTGGTGTCATCAATGCTTTCAATGTCTTCACTCTCTAAATTCAGTTGTTCGTTATCCACCTGGGTAACACAAAAATAATAAAATTGTCACTGTTCTGTCTTTATTCGTATATGACAAATGTTTCCGGACAATCTACCACATGACAGGCACTGACTACAGCTCCAAAAACAGAAAAGTAAATAGGAAATGTTCCCTATTAAGTGTTTAAGAACACACTGTCCTGTCAGATAAAACTGAACAGATATGCTCCACAGAATGTAGCAAGTGTCATCACAAGGGAGTCACAGGCCCACGTGTCATCTGAGGAAGAGCAGAAATGCTTTCAGGAAGAGGTAGCTCCCTTAGGAGGCTCTAAGTGCACCATACATTTTATATATAGATTATCTTATTCCGTTCAAGATGTTTTTAAATTTCTGTTCTTATTTATTCTCTAAACTATTGGTTATTTAAATATGTTTTTAATTGATTTTTAGAGAGAGAGGAAGGGTTTGGGTTAAGGGTAGAAACATCAGTGATGAGAGAGAGGCTTTGATCGGCTGCCTCCTGCACACCCCCTGCTGGGGATCAAGCCTGAACCCCGGGCATGTGCCCTGACCCTGAATGGAACTGTGACCTCCTGGTTCATAGGTTGACACTCAAACACTGAGCCACCTGGCTGGGCTTAATTTAATTTTATGAAGTGTGTAGGAGATTTTTCCTTCCTATCTTTGCAACTTGTTTTTCCAATTTCTTCATATTTTATTTTATTTTATTTTTAATTGTTGTTTTATTTATTTAAACTAAAAAGGTCCAAAAACATTTTAAAAACTGTTTTTTAATCACTTTATTTTACAGCTGTTTTCACAAGTCAAATTGGTCAAATAAATGGTGAGGTACAGAAAATGTTTGTATTTCAAAAAAGAATTTTGAAAAAAATTCATCAAAGCCTCAGGATATTTTAGTTGTTTTAAAATTCACAAAGTTCTGAGTAGAAAGCTTGGGATAGAAATAGAAAAGCAAGAGAAAAAGTCTCATTCGGTGGAGTCCTTGCCACCCTACTACCATCCCGCTCCCCAAGTCAACAAGAGTGAGGGGAAATAAAATAAGCGTATAGAACTTTGCTGCTCAAGGCTTGGTTCCTGAGCTGGCATGTCTTTTTCATACTTATGCGTTTGCTATCTGCAGCCATAAAATCATCATTATTATCACAATCAGGGACTTTGTAATACTTAATATGTCTAAATACTTCCTGATTATTTTTCTAGGAACTCGCAGACCTGGTGCCTGCACTTCAGCTGACTTAGCTGCGCTCTGAGCCAGGAGCCCCCTCCCTCTAGCTTTTTTTTCCAGGCAGTCCCTCACATTTCCCAGAACAGGGAAAACAGGAAACGCCAATTACATTAGGTGTTTCTGGACTTCAGGAATGAGGGATATTGGAGGTAGATGTTAAGTGATAGCATTCTCTAAGAAGCAAAGAGTTTCAATAAAAATCGCCCTCCTGGAGTCAATCCAGTTTGTAGCATTCCTTTTAATGAAACATGCCCGATTATTTTATTATTTCTTAAACTAATAAATTCTGGAGCACTCATGTGTTGGGGTCTTGGAAACAACATTTGAACAGGAAGTCTTTCTGTAAAGGAAATTATTTGCATAATGCTCTGGAAAGAAAACTCTGAACCTGGAACTAAGAGTTGAGAAAAATTTTTTTATGTATTTTTCCAGTTTTTGGAAAGAATTTTACTGGAGATATCATATTATTTTTTCTCTCCAAGTAAAGAGACACCAGAAGAAAAACAGAAACAGTAAAGCAGAAACATTTCCACCTTAAAATATAATTTTGAGTTACCCCAAGAGCATCTGAAATGAATTCTTTTATGTTTTAAACACTACTTATATCATACCAATAGATTTAATAATTCTTTTCTGTTAATTAGCATTTTGGCAATATTCCTTTGAATTGCTATGCATTTCTCTATTTAACCACCCAATTTTTCATAAAATGTATTAAAGTCATCTTAGTTTACACCATAGTTATGGTATTAAATATCTTGTATAGCACTGAGAAGTTATTTGTTAAACAAATACCCTCATGTCCCTGGGTTTATTTTTATAAGTTGCTTAGCTTACATTATATTGGATAAATATATACTTTAGAAAAATATTTAATAAATTGACATATCTTGCTTCTTATATTAATGATCACTTTATTTTTATGTACTAGTTCTTTCTGGTGATCTGGCAAGGTGCATTTCTTATCGTAAGTATCCAACAAATAACTGTAAAGGGAATAGCAGAATGCCTCTACTATATTTCCATTACTATCCTAATGGAGAAAAGTTAGGCTAATATATTTTTAAAAATAGAAGTGACTGAGAAAACCCAAAGCAGGTTAAGTGTTCAAATAATATCTGAAATTCTGTTTTAGGACAGGCTCATGGCTTGTTCAACCCAGGACTGTGTCTGTTAGGACAACAATGAGAGTTCTGTTGGAGGGTGTGGAGGGTCTCCCTGTAGTCACACTCACGCAAGACAAGCTGCCATACATCACGGACAGGCTGTCATACACGATTTATGATTGTTCCATTTTATACACATTTCTCCTGATGATATTTATATAATCAGCTTTCATTGTTTCTGCAAAGTGATACATTCCATGAATACAGATAGCATTTGCTGGTCTCTCATTTTTATGTGCTAATATTTCAAGCATTCAGCCATGTTAACCATGATAGTGTTATTATGTTTTCACTTATCAATATTTTAGTTTATCTCTACATATGTTCTTGCAGTTGAAAATTCTATATGTCTAAATTCTGAAATTTCCTTGACAAAATATGCAAAGTCTAGATTAAATCTTGAGAAATAACCCTGGAGTTTGATAAGTAGTGCCAGTGGGATAGAGAAATGGTTTAAGAGAAAGTGGTTTTTAAAAAAGCAGGCTTTAGAATGAGAGGCATGAGAGTAGACAGAATCTAGGAGTAAAAACAAGGGTTTTCTTCAGGAATAAGTGCTTTAAAAAGTCAATGTAGTCCATAGAATAGCCATGCATTGAAGTGAGAAATACTGAGTGTGAATCAGATGTGTTTGTGTCATAGTTGTGAGACTTTGGACAGTTGAATGAACCTTATGAAACTTTAGTTTCCTTATTGATAATGAAGGTATAATAATAATTATTTCACTTAATTCTTGTGAGAATTAAATGGTAGAACAATGGAAAACATCCAGTGTAGTGCTGACGATAAGTTAGGCACTGAAACAAACAAAAGTATAAATCTAAGATGAAAGAAGGTACCAGAAAATTTGCAAAGTTCACGCTTCCCCATGTAAAGAATAGTTTGGGCTGATAATCTCTTTAAAAATAATTTAAAAAAGTATTCCAAACCCCTGAATAATAATTCTACTAAAATATGGACTCAACTTTGAAACTGTAAACTGAGAAAAAAAATGTTTATCTAAAAACTGGCATGGCAGAAGTTGAACCTCTCCCAGACCTACAAATGGAGTAGGGTAAGAGCCAGTATGTTTGCTTTTGGTATGGCACAAAGTAATCCTGTCCACAGAGGTCCCAAGAGTTCATTCAGAGTAGGTCTGTCACTAGTGGTAAATGAAAAACAGATGCTAAAGAAGAGTGAACAGCTCTGGTAAGTCATCATCAGGTCTTTATAAACAATAAATTGTAAGCAAAGTTAATGCACCCACTAGAGGATATTAAGCCTGTAGAGACATTGGAAGCAACAGCACTTGTTTTTCTTCCCCTCATGTGTATCTTGGTAGCACTAAGACTTTAAAATCAGGCCCTCATAAGATCTACAAACAGCAAACCAGGAAAAAAGTACTTCTGGAGCTGTAGCTGGTTAGAATTTTGTACTGAAGGGTTACTACCAATGGTTCAACAGTAACGTGAAAGGCATTAGCCTAACCTGCCATCTCTTTCTTACTAAAGCTTTTCACAGAAGAGCTTGATTGAATCCTTTTTCACAATGGTGAAAATGCAAACCTACAACTCTTGTCCAGGTGGGGAAAAGGCTGCTGAAGGTACTACTCATGTACCTGCAGACATAGTTTTGGAGGAGAGTTAGTTCCTCAAACACTTTCTGAGTGTCTTCTGGGTATTAGCGACATGCAGTAGACCTTTGGAATAGAAAAATGAATAAGTTATGGTTGTTGCCTTTGAATAGTGGGGCTGGAGGGAGATGAGACAGACGCAGAAATACATGACCTACCCTATAAAGTGGCAAATGAAAACAGAGGTATGCAAACCTGGAGGAATAGTTAGGCCAATTTGGAGATTCCAGGAAGGCTTTCCGAAGGATCAGATGCCCAACTGACTCACTGGAATGTGAGGAGTTAGCTGGGTTAGGCTAAGGGAAAAGGGGCACCTGGGGGCGGTGGCATTCTAGGCAGAGGAATAACCTGTGTGAAACAATGGAATTGTATCACCATACTGGGTATAGTTGGGTGTTGAGAGGGTAAAGCCCAGGGTGGGAATGTGCTGGAAAAGGGAATAGAGAAGCAACTAGTGGCCAGGTCATAAAAGACTCTATGTTTAAATATCTTGATTTTTACCTTGTAAGAAATGGGAAATATTAAAAACTTTTTAAGAAGGGAGTGCCATGGTTAAATTTCCATTCTAAATTCATCATTGTGATACCAATCTAGAAGTTACATATGAAATAGTAGAGGGAGGTCAATTAAGAAGCTATGGAAGTGTCTGTGTCAAAGATGCTAAGAATCTAGAAGAAGAAGGAAGTAGAAAGGGGGAAAAATAATATAGGTTCAGTAAGATAGGAGACATAATTAGGAAAAAATCAGAGACTGAATGAACGTAGCCATTCAATAAGAAAGTGTTTCAGAGGGAAGAACATGATTCAGCAGGTGCAGATAATGAATTCAGCTTCAAACATGTTAGGATTGTAGTGCTTATGAGGGTGTTCAACCAGCAAGCATTTGCTTTATGATAGAGGTCCAGGCTAGAGAGAAAACATTCCAAATACTCAGCAAGCACGTAATAGTCAAATGTGAGAAAGAATTATATTGCCTAAGGATTACATATTCATTCATGAACTGACTCATTCACATATTTATTTATTTAACGAACCCTTAATGAGCACCTGATATGTGGCAGGCACTCTTTTTGGCTCTGTGGTTGAAGTAGTGCCTCACCGGGTCTGGATTCTACAACCTAGATGGGGAGAGACTTGGGTCAGGCCATAGTGTAGATGGAGTTAGAGAAGGTCTCAGGGGGGTTAAGAAAAGAAGAAGAGGACCAGTAGAAGGGGGCTCCTAGAAGTCAAGAAAACAGAGATTAAAGAGAAAAAAGTGGTCAACATGTCACACATGCCAGGGACATTCAGTGCAGTAAGACCTAAGAGTGTTCATTGGATTTGGAAATATGGAAACATGCTGGCCTGGGTGAGAGCAGTTTTAATGGAGTGCAGGGTATAAATTAGATAGCAGTGTATTTAAGGGCTTAAGGAAAGTTGGAGATGCTGAATATAAAATACATGTAAGAGAGGTTTGGATGACAAGTGAAAGAGGTAGGGTGGAGGCTAGAAGGGGAAGGACATTCAATCCAGAAATCTTGAAACTATCTTTTGCTCCATTTCTCATTTCCAGTGGACTCTAGTTATCTTCACCTTGATAATCTACCCATAATACAAGCTCAACAACTAACCATAGCATCAGAAATCCCTATTTCTGTGTAGGCCTTCACTATTCCTAGATACTTTAACTTTAAGCTTTGCCTCCTTTCCATCATTTTGATATCTAATCCTTGCAAGACCTGCCTTTTCTTCACTTTCTATTGTGATCTCTCTACTATAGATCCTTAGTACATGATGTATTTTTCCCATTCTAACCAAAGTTCTCTCCACTCTTATCTTTTGCCTGGCAATCCATCCCACCCAACTGCCAAAAATAATGTTGCTAAATTACATTTCTGTTTACATTACTTCCCCCATCTAAAGGCTGTAGGGCCTTTTCTGTGCCAACCAAATTAAGTGAAAACCTGTCAATCTGGGATTTGAATTTCTCCAAAATATGATTCCAATCAAGCTTCTCTGTCTTAGTCATTTCTCCAAAATATGTACCCTGAGATCCAGATAAATTGGTCTCATTACTGTTTCTTCCCAAGTTACATTTTTGTTCTCACCTTGGCCATGAATTCTCTTCCACCTTGTCCAAATTTTATCTATCCTTTAAATCCCAGTTCAGTTGTCTTTTTAGTATTATTTTTTGTCAGAATACCTACACTGCTTTTATCCTTCGAACCCTTATAATACTTTATCCATAGTGATGCTCTTTGTAGGATAGATACTTGTATATTATATTTACAATCTCTACTGTATTTTAAGTTCTATGAAAGAAGAGAATATACTTAGCATGTTTTTATTATTAATATGTTGCATAGGACATACAGTAGCTGTTTAATACATGTTTACAAATGTACATGAACTTCCAAAGATATAAACATATACGTTTTAGAGCTGAAACTGATTTTAAAGATAACATGGTCAAACCATTTTATTTGATAGATGAAAGAATTGGAGCTAAGAAATGTTAAGTGACCTGCCTAAGTCACATGACTGGTCAGCAACACATTTCATTTCCTGATTTTCAGCCCAGACCTCTTTCCATTTCATGACAGCATCTGTTTGGGAAACTTGAGTCAAGCGTCATCCTTGTCATTGTTGTCCCTGACGCTGGCATCATCATTAGTGTTAAAGACATAGATTTCTTTCTAGCCTCACAAGTTTGTGAGTTAGTTCACAACCTAAGGTAAGTAAAACCTGGGAGAGGCTCGAGCTGCCCACCCAACTTACCAGACGAAAGAGGGAGATGGTGTTCTCAGTGATGTTGTAGTGGGCCAAGACCTCAGAATCAGTGCTCACTCCAAAGGACACATCTTGGAATTTTTGCACCACCCCATGGAATACAGACGCTGCTGGTATTTCTAAATCCTAAAAACAAGGGGAAAGAAAACCCCACAGTAGTTACTGCAGAGGAGAGAGACATGGAAACAGAATAGGGAATTGAAATGTGCTCACTCATACCGGAAATCAGAGACTTGATTTAGTGTCTGAGCTGAGTGAGTTAATTGGTTACTACAAATTTGTGGCTAAGCCTGGGACTCCTCTGTGGCCTTACCATAGAACCTGCAATTTGTTAGTAGTTGAGAGGGGCCTCAAAATCACAGGGGCCTGCAAAATTGGGAAACATTGTCACTGATGTACCCAAGAAGGCAAATGTTTTAGGAACAATTTGTGGAAGCAAAAAGAAATGCAAAAATAAGAGTGTTATCAAAAGGGCCAAAAAAAGAAAAAGAAATGAAAATGGAAGGTCAGAAGTCTTCTTAACAGAAGTTTGTGCAAGATGCGGCAGAATAGTCCTTCTCCTGTGTGCAAGCCGGAGGTATTGCCCATGAAAGATGCTGCTTATGCATTGCTCCAGCTCTGGATCCCAGGCCTGCAGGAGGGGCAGGGAAGCCACTCTGAGTAATGAGTCCAGTCTTATAGCAAGCTGACACCGTTTTTGCTGCTGTCACAGGACCATTGTCCACAGCAGCTCCAGGTAGTAAACAGGAGTGAACCTCTTCTTTCCTGACATCTCCCTGGGCTGAAGGGGATGTGCAAAGAGAAAAGAAGATGGCTAGCCTTGCATCTGGGGGCCAGCAGAGGCGCTGGTACCCTGCTCATCTGAAAGGGCCTGTGGAGTTCACTTGAGCCTGTGAACAGTTGATAATCTAGGCTTCCCCTTTTTTATTCTGCTCCTTGAAACGGAATTGCTCACAATGAAACGACGGCATCTGGTGGCTGTTTAAGCCATTGCACACTCCTCCAGTTCCACTTTCGTGCCCCTCCCTGCCTTTCCCAGGGCGGCTGTTTTTGCCTACAGCTCAGATGTCTCATCACTGAGAAATGTGCTCCCCTCTTTTCCTCCCGAACTCACATCTCATTACAGCTCTGTCCAGCTGTGTACACAGAACCGGCAGGGTGGTGATGAGTTGGAATTAATGGATGGAAAATGACAACAAGGTCTGCAATGAGAGAGAAGGGGCTTGACCAGTTGTGAGAAACACCAGATGTCACCTCCAGAGAAAGATAAAAATGCCGGAACGATGCTCTCATTTATGGCTGCTTTCATTAGGTTGGCAGCCAGTGTGGAAGATGGAGGCTAATACCTTCAATATATACAATGTCACCCTTTTTCGACATTCAGAGCAAAAAGGGGAGAGGAGAATGAGGGGCTCCCTATTTGGTAAGGCTAGATGGCGGTCACTATTGACTAAGGCATTGCCTGGATGGTAGAAGTTGGGTTTACTCTGGCCCCTGACTCAGCAGTCAGATACTGACGCAAGTTACAAAGCATCCATAGATGAGTAGGCCCAGGCAGCAGCCTCAGAACTTTCGAGAAAGACGTCATTCAGAGGCTAGAAATGTCTAAGCACGGAGAGTTCTTGAATGAAAAAGCTGAAAGCAGACTCTGAGCCCCTTGGCTTCTAATATAGTGTCGTCTGGCCAGCTTGTGGCTCCTTTGAGACTGAGCACGTCTGGTTCTTTGGGGGAATAACAAGTCGGGTATCTGGACAAACCTGGAAGAAGCCTATGACAGCCACCTCGGCAGCAGCAATGAATTCCACGGCAGCTGGGACATCTGTGAGCCGCACGGGTCCCTGGGTAGCCCCTGGACAAAGAGAGAGACAATGAGAGAGGAGAGGAGGTGATCGGGAGCTGAGCAAAGGAGAAGCAGCTCTGAATGATAAGGGCTTCTACGCTGCTTCTCTTCACACTAAGGCCAAGCAGCTCTGGGGGTGCAGTTATTATGCCAAGGCTTTATTTTTTTGCCAACATATGGAGGGTGATCCCACCTTATGGCTGCTCTCTAAAGGATAAAGCTAGACTTCCCTCTTCTCTTTTCCACCAGGCAACACACGTGTGTATCCAGCTTTCCTGGAAATTGTCTAGGTTTGGAGGAAAAGTGCTCAGAGTACTACCTTGTTTCCTTCCCTTCTCTTAACAACACTTCCGTCCTATCGTCACCCAAGTGGCTTTTTTTTTTTTTTACCTGGAGATTCTTGAATTTCTGCAGCAACATCTGGGGGCAGCTTGCATGTGAAGAGAAAGAATAGAAACAGGCATCTGGACTGTGTCGCTTCCATTGCTCTTCTTCTAGCCCTGATCCAGCCCCTGGCCTTTGTGTGTGGGACACTGACTCAGGGCAGCCCACTCTGCAGCTCAGTGGCTGTGGTGCTGTTAGAGCTTTGGGAACTCCGCAGCTGGCTCTAGGGGGACCTTCAACTTCTGAGATAAAAGGCCGAGCTTAGTGACAGGGCCTCAGAACAAAACCAACCAGAAGGAAGTCAAGTAAGTTCATTTAAATAAGAAAACAATATTCTATGCCAGGTATTGAACTAAGCACTAGGGATACAAAGATGACTGTGATTGGATCCAGCCTCTCCCAGCTTAGATTGTTGATGTGAGAAGTGGACAAATAAGCAGATCATTTAAATATACAATGAAAAGAAATATAAATATTAATATATAAATATATACAAATATACAAAATATATAATATACAAAAAAAAAAAGAGGAACTCATAAGGCGCTCTGAGAGTACAGACTACAGGTATTTTGGACAGTGGTGGGGTTCTGCGAAGGCCATTTTTCTGGGCAAGGGGATGCCCAAGCAGAGTCCCGAGTAAAGAATTTTGCCAGGCAACAAAGATGGAAAGGAAGTTTCATATAATGAACCAAAGCCCAGACATACAAATATCATGTGAGAGAGAATTATTAGTAATTGAGTATTGCAAAGAGAAGGAAATGATAAATAGGAGCAGAAAGGCATGCTGGGGCCAAATCACAGGTCGTGGGGGGCTTATGAACTAAGCATAGGAGCTTCAATTTTATGTTGTAGGTGATGGGAATCCATTGAAAGATCTCAAGCAGGAGAGAAACAATGTCTGATTTGGCCCACAAGCAGTGGGAGACACAGATCTCAACATTAGGAAAACAGTGCCATACGATAATACTATAAAATAAAACGAATTGAGATTGTCTTCCGTTCATATTTTAAAGGTTCATTGTCCATTGCAGGAACAGGGGACCCACACTGTTCCCAGTGATGTAAGTGCCTCTTCTACTATGCCCTGCCCCACCCCCTCTGAGGAAACTCACAAATGTGAGCCATCCAGTTCCCATATTTGTTCAAACAAAGAGAGAAGGCAAATGAGCACCTCAGTCAGGTCAAACAACTGCTTTATTCTCACTCCCTTGTGCTGTGTAAGTGTCTCCCAGAAAAGAAGAACCCAAGTGGCAGGGCATGTGGCTAGGGACGTTCACTGAGCCAGCAGCAACCACAGAAGAATCCAGGGTAGGGAATGAGCACTGGAACCCAAGGCAAAAGGGCGGTTAGTGACTGTTTGCCTATTTCCCGGCCTCTAGTTCCTCAAATGGGAATAAGAGGAGAAATGTTAAACGACTGTGTATTGAGGAACAGACCCTTGACGATCTGGCTGTGATGGGGGACCAGAAGGAGTGGGCAGGGTTAAAGCCTGGGTTTTAGGCGTCCAGTGCCAGGGGCCACTCTGAGAGAGAGGATGTGAGGGGTGTCAGGGGAGGGGCCCAGCTGTGATCGGGGAGGAGGGACAGGGCGGTGAACACAACAGAGAGGGTTCTTCCAGGTGGCAGGGCAGGGGCAGGGAGAGACAGATGTGTTCATTCTGTCCACTCCTTCTTAATGGACAGGTTCCACTCCCAGGTGAGGTGGTCGTGCTTGTCGTCATCGGTGAAGAAAGACTTGTTGTGGTAGGTGCCTCTGGCCAGCATGCCTTTGGGAGCCTCCTCGATCGGAGTCAGGAACTCATACTCTTCTGGCCGAGGCCCGTAACTGCCAACCATAAATGTGGCTTTGTCCACTGGGAAGAAAGAAAAGTCCATTAGGGTAAGAGTCTGAGAGAGAGAAACAAGCACTGCAGACTGGAGCACTCGGAGCACAGCTTACAGTGATCAAAGCCAAGAGCAGTGGTTTCCAAGCCTGGCTAGGCGTTAGATTTACCTGGGGCACTTGTTTTTGTTTTTTTCTTAATTTTCTTTTTATTTGAGTGCCTTTTAATACTATAATGTTCCTTTGACCCAAAGACTATGGTTCAGTAACTTGCTGTGGTTCCCAAGAATCCGTGTTTTTAAAAGTATCACAGCTGATTCTGAGTATCAGAAAAATTGCAAAATCACTCAGTGCCCTAAACCAATGGAGATGAAGAATGTTTTTATGGAGATGTAGCAGATTATACCATAAAAAATTCCCAGGTGGTCGAAAGGTATAAAATTCCACTTATAAGTCCTGAGGATGTAATGTACAGCGTGGTGACTATAGTTAATAACACCATATTGTATATTTGAAAGTTGCTGAGAGAGATCTTAAAAGATTTCATCACAAGAAAAAATTATAACTGTGTGTGCTGATGGATGTTAACTAAACTTATTATGGTAGTCATGTAATAATATATACATATATCAAATCATTATGTTGTACACAAAAACTAGTACAGTGTAATATGTCATTTATATCTCATCCAAAAAAATTCAAATTAGTTGAGACTTGAGTTCTTTTCTCAGCTCTGCAACTACCTAAGTCATCTAACATTTTTGGGTCTCTGTTTCTTTTCTATATAATGAATTTCAAGGATCTTTTATCTAGACTATTATTCAATAAACATATCAATTGAGGTGGATAAGGTAACAGCTGGTAATCACAATTAACAGAATTCATGGATGGAATAACTTGAATGGAAGGGGAAAATCAATAATTTGGTTAAAAAAAGTAAAATTGGGACAAATGGTGAAAATAGCCAACCAACATTATTAGTAGGTGAATAACTGGAATATATTAAGGATAAGTAGAGGATTAGAAAGTACAAATATAGATAGGTAGGTACATAGATGACGTGTAATTACCTGTTAAGTGTTGTGATAAGTCTGAAGGAACAGCTACAGACACATCACAGCCCCATCCCATAAGTGAGGCAACTTAGTCTCTATGCCCAAAGGAAAATAGGAAACTGAACTATTCTTTTCATGGGACTAGGTATTGAGAAGACCAGTTAAGATCTTTCAGGTCAACAATCTTCTGTGGGATCTGAGTGACTGAGTGGTTCTCTGCTTTGTGAATTTATCAGACAATTTCTCCCCTCTCCCTTGTTCGTTGATTTGGTGGGACTGAGGCATTACTGTTTCACACCTCTGTGGGAAGAGAGCCCCCTAGGATAAAACAGAACTGTCAGCATGCTCCCATCAGCTTTTCACTTCTCATTTCTCCCTGCCCATACTAATGGAAGAGAACTGAGGACAGGTTCCCAAGGCATATACAGTTTAGATACAACTTGTCAAGAATGACTGCAGATTAAGTAGTGTCATATTATTTGTTTCAATTAGACAGCTTTTCTCAATTCCAGAAATAATTTTTTTTCTCTTTCTTTATTTAGGAACTTAAGCACTGTCCCTCCCTCCCTTCTCTCCCCCCCCCTTCCTGCCAACTCTCATTCCAGTTAAACACACATGACAGTGGCTAGGTCTTTCGGTCTTTCCTGTTTTGAATTTCTCTGAATTCAGGTTTTATACTTGTGAAGTGCTTTTTT